TTTGTTTCGGGATCACATTCACAGCTGTTGAAACTGCTACATACAGGGGCAGTTCCCAACATGATCACAGGGCCAGCGCTGGGGCATAGGGGGTGAAGACTCCACCTGCAGTGCCGGCATCCCATATGGGCACCGGTTCGAGCCCCAGCTGCTCCACTTCCGATCCAGCTCTCTGCTGTGGCCTGGGAAAGCGGCAGAAGATGCCCCAAGTCCTTGGGCCCCTGCACCCACGAGGGAGACCCAGAAGAAGCTCCAGGCTCCTGGCTTTGGATCGGCCCAACTCTGGCCATTGCGGCCATCTGGGGAGTGACCCAGCAGATGGAAGACCTCTCTCTCTCTCTCTGCCTCTCTGTAACTCTGCCTTTCAAATAAATAAATAAATCTTTAAAAAGAAACAACACATCACTTGGGCACTTACTATCAGGAACAGAGGTGAGAATTTTGCACAACAGAGGATTAGAGCTGTGTTATGCCCCCACCACAGAGGAGAAAGCGACGCTCAGGTTGGCTCATCTGTGCAATGACACACTCGGTTGGCAGCACAGCCTCACCAGCTCCCTGCTGGTGACAGTTCTACTGCCGTTCAGTAGTCTGTCACGGGTTCAGCTCAAAACCAACCACACTTGTGCAGATGCCCTGACAAGCAGATGGAAAAGGTTTCCTTTCTTTGGCCTTTTAAAAAGCTGGGAGGTATTTTGGTGGCCTCATCCAACTGCTAAGGAGTGGCCTAGGTTAAATTTGGGACATGAACAAAACCTCCAAGCGAGCCTCAGCCCAAGCCAGCACATCTATACTGATCTCTGCAATGCTATGCTCCTGTAGCCAAAAAGCGGCAGAAGGCTAGGCGCCCTGACGCGCGACAACGCTAAATCATGATGATCAGCAAGTGGAAAACCTTATTATTCACCGGTAGATGCTTTCTGCGAAAGGACGTCGGTGAGTCTTCTCCACGCTAGGCTTTACTTTCCGCGGCAACCCCAGCCTGAAGGCGCTTACTAGAAACTGACCCTGAAGAACTACCCCTCTAGTGACACCGCAACTCCAGACCACTTTTTCTTTTTAAGATGTATTTATTTATTTGAAACTCAGAGTTAACACAGAGAAGGAGAGGCAGAGAGAATCTTCCATGCGCTGTGAACCACTTTTAAATGTGTTCTAATGAATTCTAGTCTAAAAAAAAAAAAAAAATTTATGTATATTTGCTAAAAGTTCTATGTATATACAATTCTTATTGTTAATTTAAAAAAAAATTAAAGAGTTCTGATCTTCTGCGTTCTTCAGGCAATTTTTAGTCATTCTAAACTGTGAAAACATTGCTTCCTGCTCTGTGCCTCTGCCCTCCTCACCACAGAGGCTGGGCCTGGGACTGTGAAAGGTTAAACATTCATTGTGGCCCAGGCATCAGCAATATTCAGGCCCCTTTCGAAATCTCAGCTTCAGAGTGAGACTGTCTCCCACTGCCAGCCAAGAGGGCTTGGACTTATCTTGATTATTGGTTTGATGCTACTTAGAAAATACTTGAAATGGGGGGGAAAATGACACAGTCTTAACTTTGGTATTTGAGTTTTTGTTTAATTAAAAAGTTTATTTATTTGAAAGGCAGAGTGATAGAGATCTTCCATCAGCTGGTTCACTCCTCAAATGGCCATAATAACCAAGATTTCTTTGTCCAGGCCAAAGCCAGGAGCCCAGAACTCCACACAGGCCCTGCGCGGCTGCAGGAGCCACGACCTGAGTCACATCTGCCGCTTTCCCAGGCGCATCAGCAGGGAGCTGGATTGGAAGCGCAGCAGCCAGGACCCCAATTCACTGATAATGAGATCAGCACCACAATCAGCGGCTCCACCCACTGCAGCGCACGCAGGTCCTAGTAACTGAGTTTTATTCCTAATCATTTGGAATCATGTTTCTCCCCAAATTTATTCCAGTTGAAAATCTTCAATACCCGTTTGCACCTCTTGTTTTATGATCTGTTTATTTGCAAGGCCTACAGGAAGACTCCCAAATGGAAATGAGTTCTCCATAGCTAATCTCTGGCTTGAGTTACATGCTGAATTTAACCACAAAAAACAAGACTTCTCATCTTGTAGATTATACTGTTTTTTCCCATAAGACTATTACGGGGCCAGCACTGTGGCATAGCAGACAAAGCTGCTGCCTGCAGTGCCTGCATCCCATAAGGATGCCAGTTTGAGTCCCAGCTGCTCCACTTCCGATCCAGCTCTCTGCTATGGCCTGGAAAAGCAGTAGAAGATGGCCTAAGTCCTTGGGCCCCTGCACCCGCGTGGGAGACCTGGAGGAAGTTCCTGGTTCCAGGCTTTGGATCAGCGCAGCTCCAGCAGTTGCCACCAACTGGAGAGTGAACCAGCAGATGGAAGACCTCTCTCTCTCTCTGCCTCTCCTTCTCTCTGTGTGTAACTCTGACTTTCAAATAAATAAATAAATCTTACAAAAAAAAAGAAGTAAAAAAAGACTATTATGATACTAAAAAAATCAGGTCTCAACTTTTTTGTAATAAATTTTGTGTATTAAAACTTTGTTAAAAATTTATTTTTACCTTAAAAGTAAACATGTAAAATCTGTTTGCATATAGAAATTATTAGCATTTCCAATGTCGTGAATAGGAAAACAAGATAACAGGCTAACAGGAAATCCAATGCACAGAAATTCATTTTGGCAAGAAAGGTATATCTGTAAATGCAATTTTCCAAACAGAAATGGCAGAAAAGTTTAAAAGCAAAAAATCATTAGTCTAATACTCTTAACTGATTAAATATTATCCAGAATGAACTGATATCCAATATTAACCATATCTATCACTGTAACTAAACAGGGTGCACAGCAAATAGAAATACTGACCCCCCACAAAAAGTCCAAGTAGAACAGGAGCAAATTGAGAACACCAGCCACAAGCAACTTCCAAAGTAACAGAAGAACAGCAGTAAAATACTCATTCCTCTTTGGGAGAACAAAAACCACTGCCAGAAACTCTGCCCCCCCCCCCCCCAACAGAGGACCTGCACAGCAGCAGGGGCACAGGCCACAGGTTCCTAAAGACAAATCTCCCAGGGACAGACACTCATCAAACGAAAACAAAAAAGATACAGTACCTATTACTCGGCGCATTGCTAAAGGCTACTTTAGATTAGCAACAAGAAAAAGGAGACTGTGTAACCTAAGCATTTAGGAGCCTCAAGGTAGCAGTCTCGCCCTGCTGGACAGGCGGTGCCTCCCCGGCCCTGCTGGACGGACATCACCTCCCCGGCCCTGCTGGACAGGCGTCACCTCCTGGCCCTGCTGGACAGGCGTCACCTCCCCGGCCCTGCTGGACAGGCGTCACCTCCTGGCCCTGCTGGACAGGTGTCACCTCCCCAGCGCTGTCACCACTCACGGCCTTCTAGACACCAAAGCAGGCGGCTGAACTTGAGAATGGGAACCTGGAGCTCCGTCCTCCCCCTGCTCCTCACTACCGGGGGGCTTCTCGAGGCCGAAGGTCCACTCGACAGCGCTCCCACCTGGCGACCCCGGCTCCCTCGCAGGAGAAGCGGCCTCCATCTGGCCCATTCGGCCGGGAGTTCCAGTTCAGGTGTTCCCCTAGGGCCAGGGAGGCAGAGGGCAGGGGCCGCCGGGTCCGACAGAGGCCGCCCTGTGGCTGCCGGAGCACTCGGCCGCGCGAGCCGCTCTCCCAGCCAGAGACAGCGCCTCGGCCGGCCGCTGGCCCTTCACCAAGACGGCAGGCACGGCAGCCCCGGGGCCTCACTTGGCGAGGCAGGACTCCACGCCGGGAAGCCCGCATAGACACGGCCTGGCGCGCCAAAGCCGCTTCCAACCTGCCGTAGCCTGGAGCTGAGCGCACTCGCTCAAAATAATGGACATCGCCGCCGCAGCTCCGGTGTTAAACACCGGCAGGGTCAATTTTGAGAAAAAAATAGGAGGTGGGGGAGTGGGAAGAGGAGGAGGAGGAGGAGGAGGAGGGAGAGGGGGAGGAGGAGGAGGAAGAGGGAGAGGAGGAGGGAGAGGAGGAGGAAGAAGAGGAGGAAGAGCTTTTACTCGGGATGAAACTCGCGCTCCGGCGGCCGGCGGAGTCCACACGGCCCCGGGGGGACCCCCAGCACCGGGGGCCGGGCCCGGACGCACCCTCGCCGGAGGGCGACCTCTCGGGGCGCGCAGGGGCTGGAGCAGGCGCACACTTCGGGAGTCCGCCGCCGCGCCGAGGGCCAGCCGGGCAGGGGCCGCGCCGCCCCCAGGCCCGGCGGAGCCCGGGGAGCCCGGGGAGCCCGGGGAGTCAGGGCTGCGCGCCGCGGCGGCCGCGGGCAGGAAGCGAGAGTTTACCACCGGAACGCCCCGCTCGGGCCCCTGGCGGACGCCGGCCGGCGCCGACCTATTTCCCGGGCGGTCTCGCCAACTGCGCGGCCCGGGGGCCCCGAGCGTCGGGAGGGAGCGCGACCCCACCTCCACAGCCTCCGCCGGCAGGAACGGGAGCGCGGCGTCGCCGCACGCGGAGCCCGCGGCCGGGGCTGCCCGCTGCACCTGCCGCCGCCTCGGGACTCGTGGGCGCGCCCGCCCGCTGGGCCTCAGGGCGGGGGCCCTGCCCGCTCGCACCCGCCGCGCCGGGGCCCGCAGCGGCCGGCTGGGGCGCGGGCCGGACCTGGGCCGAGGGGCAGCGGCCGAGAAGCGCTCGGGGGCCGAGGCGCCGGCCACCTCCGCGGCCCGTGCCCGCGGAGACGCCGCCCCGGCACTCACCTGCCCGCTTCCCCTTCCGCGCAGCGCGGCGCCTCACTCGCGCTCGGACCCCACCGTCCGCCTCAACCAACCCGGCGGCGGCGGCGGCGGCGGCCGGACGGGAGGGCGGGACGGCGGCCTGAGACGGCCCCGCAGCCGCGGCCCAACCCGGCTCCGCCCGCCCCCGGACTCCGCCCCCGGGCCGCCGCCGCCGCCGCTCATTGGCCCGCGCCGCGCACGCATGGGCGCGGCTCCGCCCCGCCGCCGGGCCGCCGTTCCGCCCGGGATCCTCCGCAGCCATTGGGCTGGTGGCTCCCGGGGGCCAGAGCGGCCAGATCAGCCGCCGCCAGCCCCGAGACCACCATTGGCTGGACTGGGCCCACGCCATAGCTCTGATTGGACAACTGGCGGCTCGGGCCCCGCCTCCGCACCCAAGTTCCGTTAGCAGGTTCGGTTGCTCCCGAATTCCCTTTCGCCATGGGGGGCGGGGCCGTCGGGCCGGGCACTTTGGCTGGCTCCTCCCCCTGCACGCAGCAGCTGCTTACCGCGGGGTGGGCGGGGAGCAGAGCCCCCGGCTCGCTAGTTTTTTTGGGAGTTCTACTTTCTTCTGATTGGTTGGCAGGCGCCTGTGCGCACCGCTCCTCCGGTCGCTCGTTTTACGTTGCGCGACGCAGCGCGATGACGTAGAGTTCCCAGCATTCCACATCCAAGATGGCCGCGGTCGGCAAGGAGAGACGTAGCTAAGGGGCTTGCCTGAGGCGAGGGGTGAGTGTCCCACCGACTGCGGCTGTACCGCCCCGCTCCCGCTCACCCGGGGGTCGGAGCAGGGTGTGGCCACCCGCCTCCGTCCGCGCGCGGAGTCTCTCTTCCCTGATTCCGGACCCCGCCTCTCGCCTCCTGTGCACGCTGAAGTTGGCGGGCTTCGGCAGAGGGGCTGAGGCGCAGGGGCCGGACAGGGACTCGGGGTGGGCCCTGGAGCGGGCAGCCGCGCTCCCTGCGCGGTCCGGTTGGGGTTCCAGGAGCTCCCTGCGGTGGCGGAACCGGGCAGGGGTTGCAGCCGCGGACCGCCCACGCTCCCCGCAGCGGACCCTGGACGCAGCGGGGGTGGGCCGGCGGGATGGGAAGAGGCACTTCCGCGATGAGATTCGGGTTGGTTTGTTACCTCAGGAACTCGGGGCGTGGGTCCGGGGGTTAGCGAGGGCGCTGACAGCTGTGGCCCGTTCAACGGAGCTCTTGCAGACCCCGGGAGGTTAGGGACGACTGACCGGGGCCGTTGCTGTCCGGCCTGTCGCGTTTTTAAGGTGGTACCTCGAGCGAAACCGCCCTTCAGCGAGTGACGCATTAGTCGTGCGTGTTGGTGGATTCTTGCCTAAGTCGTGTTTCTCGCGTGTGCTGTTTGGAAAATGCAGTTTGCACCAGCAAGCAATAAAGAAACATTTGAATTGTTTATGCGATTCTTAAGATTTGAATGCTTTTTTTAAGTTCAGTCTCATAAAGCAAAAAAAAAAATCGTTCGTAGTTTTGGAGTAAGGAATGAGCTTCGTTTTGGGAGACTGTGGAAAGCGGTGAGTTTGCTGAGTGTCTGAAGGAAGGGAAATGAGGACTGGGCGAGGACAAATACCTGCCGGGTCACTGAGACGGCGGAGCGGATCTGGTTGGGTCGCCTCATTCCCGGGTTTAAGCGCAGATGAAGTTGCGCACGCGGAGGGGCAGAGTCGGTTGTAAACGCTTGTCCGTGGCTTTGGAGGAGCCCCAGATGTGCAGTTGTGATGGAAAACTGAGCTCCGGGGCGTGTCCGTTCTCTCGGAGACGGCTCCCGGACGCTGCTTTGTCACCCGTTGTAGAATCTCCCGCAAGCGCTTGGGAAAGGAGAGCGGAGCCCCTCGGGCCTGCGGGGCCGGGTGACTCAGGCCCTGGTGCTGGCTGCGGGATTGCTGGACATTTGGGCGGCTTGGCTGACGTTGTAGTCCGATGGATGGGCGTCCGCTCAAGTTACCAAACCCGAAGCATTTGGATGTGAGTGTCGTCCTGAAGAAGAACGACACTACATTTACAAAAACTTAAATTTACACCGAAATTTGCAAAATCTCAGTTGTGAGTATTTGAGATGAGGAGGAACTGGCCTGACAGGAAATGGTTCCGGGTTGTGGTGCTCCGTTCTGGAGGTAAAATAGTGGCTGCACTGAGAGAAGGCAGTATCTCAGTCTGAAGTGAAGCAAATTGTGACTGCCGTTCGCCAGCGGTGTGCACCGGGCAGGTTACTTCGTGTCTCCTCGGCTGGTTTTCTCCGGGATCAGCTGTAAGGGTAAGACAGGTAACTTGCCCCATAGCTGCAGCTCTGCGGACACACCGTGGACGTGTTACTCTCAGACCACCTGTTACATAGATCTTACAGAGTTTCTTTTTTTCTCATTTTGATGGCTAATATTTAGAGAAGACCTAGAAACCCTGAGAACCCTTATGGAAAAATGGTTAATTTGTTTACCTTGGAGAAAAGAGGGGTAGGCAAAATTGTCTTCATATATTTCAAAGGCAATCATTAGGTCAGAGAAACTGTTTCCAAGGCTTTAAAAGTCTCTAGGTGGGAGTGATGGAGAGTTCTTACAAGGTGGTTATTTTGTGCCATCTATGTAGCAGATCTAGGGAAGGAACGGAACACACAGAGATCAATATAGGGCTGGTCCTGGTGTGGCAGGTTAAGGTTCCACCTGCAACATCCCATGTGGGCACTAGTTCAAGACCCGGCTGTCCCACTTCCAATCCGGCTCCCTGCTAAGGTGCTTGGGAAAGCAGTAGAAGATGGCCCACCCGGCACCCACACTGGAGACCCAGCAGAAGCTCCAGGCCCAGCCCCAGCTGTTGCAGCCATTTAGGGAGTGAGCCATTGGATAGAGGATTGAGCCCTTTCTCTGTAGAGCTCCCTTTCAAATAAGTAAAACATAAGTACTTTTTTTTCCCACAGTCCAGTAATTTATTTTAAATTGGAATAACTTCAGATTCCACAAACAAAACTGGAGACCAGCAATATTTTGTTTGAATTCATCGGTGATGTAAAACACCACAATATCCAGAATACGCAAACCTCAGGGAGGGGCTAGGAAATACACACAAGATTGGAATCCTGGTGCTCTTTGTTCCTGAATGGAATGGTCCCACAGAAAAAGCGCAGGATACAGCACAACATAAGGGCACCTGTTACATATGTAGTGAGTGAGACACACTAGCGTTTTCTATGTGTGTGATGGGAAACCTGCCTGGCTTAGAGGGCCTTTTACGCCCATTTAAAAATCAGGCAAGTTGTCTGTACACATTTTTCAAATAATTTTGGAGAGCACTGCAATCCAGTGAAGGATCTGCTGATTAGTGTTGTCTTTGTCGGCACTGATAGTCTTGCATGGTCACATCCCAGTGTTTTTGCGGTAGCTTTTCTTTGAATAAAAGAGATTTAAATGCATTTAGACAATACATATTGTAAGTTGTTTACATACACTGAATTTAAGGATTCAGTATTGGAGTTCCTTTGCTTCTTTAAACACTAGAGAGTACAAATCAGGTTCTTCTTAATAGGTTGACTGTTAAGCAGTTCTTGAAAGAATGAGAGTGGCAAAAAAACCCACGAAACATGAATCTTTAATTTAAAAGTCAACATAAGATTAATCTAAGAGGGGCCAGCGCTGAGGCACAGTGGGTTAATGCCCTGGCCTGAAGTGCCGGCATCCCATATGGGCACTGGTTCGAGACTAGCACTCTGCTATGGACTGGGAAAGCAGTAGAAGATGGCCCAAGTCCTTGGGCCCCTGCACCTATGTGGGAGACCCAGAAGAAGCTCCTGGCTCCTGGCTTCGGATCAGTTCATTTCTGGCTGTTGTGGCCAATTGGGGAGTGAACCATTGGGTGGAAGACCTCTCTCTCTCTCTTTCTCTCTTTCTCTCTTTCTCGTTCTCTTTCTCTTTCTCTTTTCTTTCTCTCTCTGCCTCTCCTCTCTGTAACTCTTTCAAATAAATAAATAAATTCTTTAAAAAAAGATTAAGAATTAGATGAGCACCAGTTATTGATATTTGACATTTCTATAGGCTACTTTGTAAACTAATAGGATCCCATTAATGAAAGTAGCCAAATAAGGTTAGTAAATGAGCAAGTATTGCTGTTAAAAGAGGACTCCTTGGCTGGCACAGCAGCTCGCTAGGCTAATCCTCCTCCTGCAGCGCCGGCACCCTGGGTTTTAGTCCCGGTTGGAGTGCCGGATTCTGTCCCAGTTGCTCCTCTTCCAGTCCAGCTCTCTGCTGTGGCCCTGGAAGGAAGTGGAGGATGGCCCAAGTGCTTGGGCCCTGCACCCGCATGGGAGACCAGGAGGAAGCACCTGGCTCCTGGCTTTGGATCAGCGCCGTGCACTGGCCGTAGCAGCCATTTCGGGGGTGAACCAACGGAAAAAGAAGACCTCTCTCTCTCTCTCCTCCACTGTCTAACTCTTCCTGTCAAAAAAAAAAAAAAAAAAAAAAAGAGGGCTCCTTATGACCAGTGCTGTGGCTAGCAGGTAAAGCTGCTGCCTGCAGTGCCTGCATCCCATATGGGTACTGGTTCAAGCCCTGGCTGCTCCACTTCCGATCCAGCTCTCTCCTATGGCCTGAGTAAGTGGTAGAGGGTGGCCCAAGTCCTTGGGCCCCTACACCCACATGGGAGACCTAGAAGAAGCTCCTGGCTCCTGGCTCCTGGCTTCCGATCAGCCCAGTTCTGACCATCGTGGCCATTTGGGAAGTGAATCAGTGGATGTATGGAAGACCTTTCTCGGGGCCGGCGCCGTGGCTCACTTGGTTAATCCTCTGCCTGTGGTGCCGGCATCCCATACAGGCACCAGGGTTCTGGTCCCGGCTGCTCCTCTTTCAGTCCAGCTCTCTGCTGTGGCCCGGGAAGGCAGTGGAGGATGGCCCAAGTCCTTGGGCCCTGCACCTGCATGGGAGACTGGGAGGAGGCACCTGGCTCCTGGCTTCAGATCGGCATAGCGCTGGCCGTGGCGGCCATTTGGGGAGTGAACCAACAGAAGGAAGACCTTTCTCTCTGTCTCTCTTTCTCATTGTCTAACTCTGTCAAAAAAAAAGAAGAAGAAGAAGACCTTTCTCTCTCTCTCTTGCTCTCGCTCTCTCTTTCCACCTCTCTGTAACTCTTTTTAAAAAGGGGCGGTGGGGAGGACTCCTGGGGCCAATGTTGTGGCGTGGCAGATAAAGCAACCACCTAGGATGCTGCCATCCTATATGGGCACCAGTTAGAGTTCCTGCTGCTCCAGTTCTGATCCAACTCCCTGCTGTTGTGCCTGGGAAAGCAGCAGAAGATGGTCCAAGTGCTTGAGACCCTGTACCCATGTGGGAGACCTGAAAGAAATTCTTGGCTCCTGGCTCCTGGCTTTGGTTTGGCCCAGCCCTAGCCATGTGGCCATTTGGGTAGTGATCTCTT